AATGCAGTAGTTTGCTAGCGTTTAGTTCTTGCGTATACTGTACGACTCACAATGATAAATGCGGCAGCATTGGAACAAAATGGCTGTTTTTCTTTATCTCTATTGAGGAATGTTGTTTTGTGTTTGAAAAGAACATCGATAAAAAGCTTGCAAATAGAATTAGTTACCAAATATAATACAAACGAAGTTTGAAAGGAACGTTTGGTAGAGGGGTCCAAATCTGCGAAGGGGTGTCCAAGTCCGTTTTGACACAGGCCTTCCTTGTTTTGTGCTTTGGAAGTCTCTGTGATTGACTTACAGAAAGAAATCAAATTTAGGAAGATAATTAAAACGATTGTTTTTCTTCCTATTTGTTAAATCGTCCCCTTGTCTATTTATGGGCTACAACCGCAAAAATCTTGGAGTATTTAGAAATTTTATTGTTATCACCACCTGAAAAAAAAAAAAAAAAAAAAAAAAGAAAGAAAATAAAACTTAGAATGTTTGGAGAATACGAGAAAAGTTTGTAAACCACGAGGCGCTACCTAACATTCCACGTGGTTGATATAAGCCGGTAAACCGATAGAAAGTGTGGTTTATTGCTTAAATATCAGCATTTACCTATGTAATGTGGGTGACAAGATTCAAATCAATTTATTCGAACTATTTTCATAACATTCGAAATGTAACTCGAAGTTCAACTTGAAATCCAACTCAAAGTTTAACTCAAACTCGAAGCAGGTCTGTAAGTTGGCGACTAAAAAAGAAAGCAAAAATAAAACTGAAAATAAAGAAAACATCGTGTCGATGTCGATAGCTTGTACGCAAATTAACTTACACCTGTATGACACTGACGTGAACTTATCAATGTACTTTAAAATCATTTGTTTCAGGGCCACTTCAGGAGTTACCTTGTCCGTTCTCTTCTTTCTTTCCGAGACCGGGCTGCTTGTGTGTCTTTGTGTGTGTGTGTGTTGTGTGTGTGTGTGTGTGTGTGTGTGTGGGCAGTGATTTGCCCGCCTAGACTAAGATCGTTAATGACTTCAGAGTAGTTTTCTCACGTAAAAGTAAAATCTTGATGGTGAACTAAGATGGGGGCTGTTACGCATCATAATGTTATGCAACTCTCAGTTATTATTGATGTCATCCCCCCTCCTGACCTTACTCGCGAGAATTCCTTTTCCGAGCCCACCTCGGGGTCATCAGAAATCACAGATTTCCTGCGCCCGGCAGAGGAAATACATTGTAAATTACTTAGGATTTTCAGTAACGTAATAGTAGTAATCGATGTTGCTGCCTGGATGAAAGTTCTGATGAATAGTCTTCAAACCGGGAGGAAAAAAATTTGTCCTCTTTGGGTCAAACGAAGTCTGTTCTTCTAGAACCTCACTTTTCCACCCAAGTCGTGGAAGTAGTAGTGTTACTGGGAAATTCTTCTACTTAAATCTGACGGCTATATGTAGCTGCTTATGAGTAAGGATAGTGCGCATGAGAAATGACATTCTTAAAAACGCGACAGTATTCTATGATGTTAACGAGGAGAACATCTTTCAACAACCTCACCAAAACACCAAAAGGGGGCATGCACCTGGTTACACGCGCACTAAGGCTTCATGTTATCCGGAAAATTGACACTAACTTGTCCTCTACGGGTCATAAAGAAGCAGTATTCCAGGCAACAAGGGACGCGGGCAGTGTCATGTAAGTGGACTCTCTAAGTGACCTTCCACGTGGTCCACGCCAGGGTAATTACCGAAATCAGGTAAAAAAGGCGCCTCCATCAGCTTAAGGAAAAGATGACGAGCTACTGAAGTTTTTGTGAAAGATGAAAAGCGAAGAGGAACCTATCATTCGAAAAGTTACCCATGAAAAGGAAAACCTGCCATCGCTCTTGCATCCGAAAACCAGCTTGCAGAGTTGGCGAAGTACAGCACATCAGAAATAGACTTCTCCATTAATCAGATGGAAACTACATTCAATCTAGAAACTTGTTGCTGAAAAGCAGAAGAACTCTTGCATCTCTAATAAGGCTTAGTTTTGATTCATTATCAAAAATTAAGACGAGAGGACCTTTCGAGGCTTCCTTCAGACAGTCGTTGATACAAAACCGAGGCTAAAGGAAATTCTTTGCTGTGGTACAGATGATGAGACAGCGTTGAACAACGCAATCCAAAGCGTTTTTCCTAAGACGGACGAAAGAGGTGTGTGATGTTTTAAACATCTTCAGGATAACATGAAATCTGCGCTTGGGTTGTTTGGCGTAACAGGAAGACAGAGAGACAAAATTGATGACGTATTCGACAGTATTGACGAGGACGGCATTTATAATTACCTGGCTGATCTCCTTGATGCAAAGTCTCTGGAAGAGTTTAATACCACGCTTCAATCTCTCAGACAGAGGAAGGTGGAAAGAGGAGACAAATCAGAAAAGGCGTACTCCTAGGTCTCAGAGGTGGGAGAGATGCTGAAGAAAAGAGCTATCGCCAGTGTTCGTCGAGTTGCAAGGCTTCAGCCTAAGAGCCAGTAAGTGGACGTTCCTGTCCAGGTCTACACAAAGGACGCAGAATCAAACAACAACAGATTGTAGGCCAAAAGGGGAAGGCAGTCCTCCGGATTCCCTGGACCACTGAGGCTGTAAAAAATATCGGGAAAGAAGAAGAGGAAGAAGAGTTTGCGCAAGAAGTTTGAGGCGTTTCACAAAGCTATGAACTTCGTTCTGAATTTGCCTAGTTTATCGTTCCTGATTTTATGGATTGGAGGAAGAGTGAACGGACATTCTACCTCGAAAAGTTACGAAAAGCTACTATGGAAGAGCTCTATGCCGCTGAGAATCCTACAAGCCTCAGCCTTGTACCAGATAGCATCATAAGAAGACAAGAAGCTGCAAGCTCTACTTTAGATTCTGGAAAGTCAGACCTTATGCATTCTTATTTTAACGACAGCGACTTCGAAGAACACGTGGACGGAAGCGATCTTTCTGAAAAGAACGAAGGCGAACTAGAGGAGTCTCGGGCCGGTGGTCTTAGCAATCAGTGTGCCGCCTTCATCAGCCGATGGATCAGGGTCTTTTTCCGTCGCAAATCAATTAGGGAAAAGGCCTAATTATTTCCTAATGGGTATTGGGAAAGTCGAGTGGGAGTGCCCTTACTGGAAGGCGACTAAGATATGTTCTCATGTCCAGGCCGTTGCCGAAAAGAAAGACGAGATCGCTTCCTAGCTTACATGATATGGTAAGCTTAAGTTTGCTAGAAGGCAGAGTTTAACCAGCACTCAACCGTCGGAAACAAAGGGAAGCGCCCCAAAAGACAAAGATCAGGGAAAACACCATCCGCTACTTTCTCAGAAAACACGAAGGGCTCTGCAACCCGAAAGCATAAACTTAAATGGCCTTTGAGTACTACGGCTGCGATTCTCCACAACGAGTCCTGGGCGAAATTCCTGATCCACCAAATGATGTTATTGCGCCTACTAATGACTACAAATCGTTCAAGAAGGATGGGAAACCATTTCGGGCCCACGCGTTACCACCTACGTGCTGCATGCATCGCCTCCAAAAAACACTGAATTTGAAGCAAATAAGTACTGACGTGGTGATTACAGAGAATGACAAGAGCTTATTTAAAGAGTCACATAAACGCTTAATTTATGGGGAATTTCAATTCTAATAATCAGGCTCTCGTATTGCTATTTTTCTTTACTCCTGACTCCTTCTTATTCCTCGCCCTATTTTTCGTCATTTCTCTTGCGCGTGCTAAATGATATTGAATAAATTAAAGGAAAAGAAGCACGTGAAATGAAATAAATATATAAAAAGAGAAATATTAACTAATTGAAGGGGGGCATTGTAGTCTATTAGAAACTGCAAAACCACCAGAAATTTGGTCAAAACTGAAAACTGCAAGAAATTCTCGCCGCCCTTCCTGTTTTCGTTAAGAAAAACGCGATATACTCCACAGTTGCTTTTTGAGGTCCTTGAGCTTCGTCCTCTACAGGTGCGTGAGGCACGTTGGGAGCCATAGCTCGCAAATTGATCGACCTTAGTATTATTTCAACTGATGCTCACATCATTACACTACATCTGAAGAAGAAAACATTCCCTATGCAGAAAATTTGCTCAAAACATCAGGAACACTGGCGAGAGTACTCAGCTGCTTAAAATACCGCTGATTAACATGCGTGTTGATCGTTTTGCAAGTTTTGAGAACATCGTCCCTCGGCTTCAGGCCCCGTGAATTCTTCCCCCGACCCCTCTTTCCGGATTGGTCTTTAAGTCCCCTTGAAGAAATGCTTCGACAGCCAGCGAGGAAGAGCTTTAATATAGTCTTTATTATAGTAAAGGGCTGGAAAATAAACTAACAAGAGCCTGCGCTGTTAGGCTTGGTTAAATTTATGTATTATTTTTTATCATAAACTGCATTTATTAAGCTTTCCTCTGATGTAAAGTTTGTGAGGATGTTAGAGAAATTAGCACGCTTATGAATACTTTTCCCGAAGGACATACACGTAGATGGGAAGCAACCTTAAACCGGTGAGAGCGAATTTGCACTTAGCTTCGTCCTCGCTCCTTAATTTTAGTACCAGATCTTTGAACCGTGAGAACTCGGAAGAGGCCTATTGGACTTTACTGACTGGCTTTGATTACCATTACAAATAAGTACCATGTTTTCCAATACCTTTCTATGTTCTAGTGGTAACAGATAAAGTTTGCCTAGCAAAATAAACTTCGTTTAGATAGACTTCCTTTAACCGGGCTTAATCTAATGTAAATCAGAAACAGAGAACTGAAATACTTAATTTTTCATAGCATTCAATTTGAAGTCCACAAATATTGGTTTAAGCAGCTCCTATGCTGAAAAATATTTTAAACTGTTTGACAAAATAGCTTTGAAACATTTTTAAGCTTTGTTGTGAATGGGTTATGAACCTGTTTCTGGCTAATGATGCTTCACTTTAAGCAAAATGAGATGAAAGTATCCACCTAAAGATGGCAGACTAGCCCACAGTTTTTTTTCCGGTTAGTATCCAACTAACAGCTCTGAAAGGCATGCAATATTTGCAGTATCCATAAGCTTCCTGTTTCTCCATCTTCATGTCGTTGTACTAATTTTACTTTCAAACAAAATTTAAGGTTATGATCGATATTTGCAGTTAACTTGCAAATATGTAGCTCTACTCTAGGCATGAGAAATTTACTTGTAGAAAAGTGTTAATGTTCATATTCAGTGTTTTCAAACCTGAAGAGCTGTCTTGTTCACGATCGCGATCTCTCTTGCGTTGAGGAACCTCCATAGCTGAAAAAGAACGTAAAGGGAAATATTATGTGTCTTCCCCGAGCGCTTCAGCGATCAGTTCATTTTCCGAATTAATCAGTTGAAGTTCAAGTTAAACAAGCCACAATACAAATGAAAAAATCTGAGATTTTTTTGCACACCTTAATCTCTAATAAGCTTTATTCCGCGATAATTTATGCCTTATACAACAATTTAATGATATAATGAAAAAATTTAGCTGCAGCTCAATTTAAATAGACGTAAGTATAAAAAGGGAAAATTCCCAGCTGATAGCGACCGAGGGCAGAGGGAATTTCCCTTCGATAAGTGAAAATGAAAATGAAAGTCATGACTTGGATTTAACACAATCAATATTCCAGAGAGAGAAAGAGGGATGCCCTCTCGATTGCAGTGATTTGGAAGCCTCACCCAGCGACCTTTGATATATCTATTGGTGCCACTTACCTAAAGCTCCTACAGAAAATATGGCGAAATAAAAAACCGAGTTAATTTGTAAACTCTTTCATACGAGTCGATGTGACTGTATAAACGGTCTAATCAAATTATAAACGTCTTGAAACAAAATCTGTCATTATTAGTATTTACAGTTGCAAATCAGTGTAGCTCTACTCTAAGCATGAAAGATTTCATTGCAGAAAAGAGCTTGTGTTCATATTTAGTGTTTTCAAACTTGAAGAGCTGAACGGTCTAATCAAATTATAAAACGTCTTGAAACAAAATCTGTCATTATTAGTATTTACAGTTGCAAATCAGTGTAGCTCCACTCTAAGCATGAAAGATTTCATTGCAGAGAAGAGCTTATGTTCATATTTAGTGTTTATAAACCTGAAGAGCTGTCTTGTTCACGATCGTGATCTCTCTTGCCTTGAGGAACCTCCTTAGCTGAAAAAGAACACAAATAAAATATTATTTGTCTTCGCCGAGCGCTTCAGCGATGAGTTCGTTTTTCCAAATTTATCAATTGAAGTTCAAGTTAAACAAGCCAAGATACAAATGAAAAAATCGGGGCTTTCTTTGCACACCTTAATCTATAATAAGCTTCATTCCCTGATAATTTGCCCCTTACACGACAATCTTAAGTTCAAATTATAGAATTTAGCTGCGGCTCAATTTGAATAGGCATAAATATAAAAAGGGAAAATTCCCAGCTGAAAGCGACCGAGGGCAGAGGGAATTTCCCTTCAATAAGTGAAAATGAAAATGAAAGTCATGACTTGGATTTAACACAATCAATATTCAAGAGAAAGAAAGAGGGATGCCCTCTCGACTACAGTGATTCGGAAGCTTCAACCAGCGTCCTTTGATTATATCTATTGGTGCCACTTACTTAAAGCTATTACAGAAAACATGGCGAAATAAAAAACCGAGTTAATTTGTAAACTCTTTAATGCGAGTCGATGTGACTGTATAAACGGTCTAATCAAATTATAAACGTCTACACGATGTGAAACACACTTACCTGCGTTAGACATGATTAACAGCGGATGAGAGAGAAATAAAAGCGGAAGATTTATGAAGACAAGCAACCTACGGAAATATTACAACCGCTTGATCAACACAACACACCTTGCTTCCTTGAGTTCACGACACGCTTAGTTTGTTATGAAAATTGTTCACATGCAAGCATAGCGAACTCCCGAGCCGAATTTTTCACGAGTACGTCTCTTTCCAAAGGTTTTGACAACAGTTTTAGCGCTCTGGTGTTTCTCATCGAATTTTTTTCCCGAAGGACCAAACGAAGGTAAGAAGTAACGATGAGAGCGACTTTGCTCTTAGCATCGTCCTTGTGCCGTAATTTCGGCACCAGATCATTGAACCTCGGAAGTGGCGTATAGGACTTCACTCACTCCGATTATCATTAGAAATAAATACCAAGTCTTTCAATAACTTTCTGTGTTCTAGTGGTAACAGAGAAAGTTTGCGTAGCGAAATAAACTTCGTTAAAATAAACTTCCTCTAAACCGGGCTTAATCGAATGTAAATAAGAAAGAGATAACCAAAAAACTGAATTTTCCGTAGGATTCAATATGTACTACATTTGAAGTCGACAAACATTGGTAAGAGCAGCTCCTGTATGAAGAAATGTTTGAAAAAACAGCTTTGAAACATGCTTATGCTTTGTTGTGAATGGGACAAAATCTATTAATGTCCAGTGATGCATGACAGCAGACTAGCTCGCAGTTTTTTCCGGTTAGGCTCTAGTTAATGGCTTTCAAAGCCATGCAATATTTTAAACATAATCAAGCTTCTTGTCTCTCCATCTTCATGTTGTTGTACTAATTTTAATTTTAAACAAAATCTAATGTCACTATCAGTATTTACAGTTAACTTGCAAATCAGCGTAGCTCTACTCTAAGCATGAAAGATTTCATTGCAGAGAAGAGCTTATGTTCATATTTAGTGTTTCCAAACCTGAAGAGCTGTCTTGTTCACAATCGTGACCTCTCTTGCTTTGAGGAACCTCCTTAACTGAAAAAGAACACAAATAAAATATTATTTGTCTTCGCCGAGCGCTTCAGCGATCAGTTTATTTTCCAAATTTATCAGTTGAACAAGCCACAATACAAAAGAAAAAATCGGAGGTTTCTTTGCACACCTTAATCTCTAATAAGCTTTATTCCGTGATTTCATGCTTTACATGACAATCTTAAGTTCAAATTAAAGAATTTAGCTGCGGCTCAATTTGAATAGCCGTAAATATAAAAAGGGAAAATTCCCAGCTGAAAGCGACCAGAGGCAGGGGGAATTTCCCTTCATTAAGCGAAAATGAAAATGAAAGTCATGACGTGGATTTAACACAATAAATATTCCAGAGAAAGAAAGAGGGATGCCCTCTCGATTACTCTGATTCAGAAGTTTCCCCCCGCGTCCTTTGATTATATCTATTGGTGCCACTTACCTAAAGCTCTTACAGAAAACATGGCGAAATATTTTTAAAACCGAGTCAATTTGTAAACTCTTTAATACGAGTCGATGTGAGTGTATAAACGGTTAAATCAAATTATGAACGTCTACACAACGTGAAACACACTCATTAGATGCGTTAAACATGATTAACAGCCGAAAAGAGAGACAAAAGCGATAGATTTGCGAAGACAAGCAACCTACGGAAATATTGCAACCGCTTGATCAACATAACAACACCTCGCTTCCCTGAGTTCATGACACGCGTAGTTTGTTCTGAAAATGGTTTACATGCCAGCATAGCGAGCTACCTAGCCGATCTTTTCACAAGTACGTCTCTTTCCAAAGATTTTGACAATAGTTCATGCGCTCAGAAGTTTATCATGGAGATTTCTGGTAAAACGAAAGGTAACGACCTCGCGCTCGAATGTTTATCGAACATCCTGAACCCTTACGTTATCGTCAGACTCGACTCACTTGATCTTGCTTCGCTTTTGGTATTTATTAGAATTGCAAACGACTGTATACAAGATGATAGTTATACTGAAGCAGGCTGTTCAGGACATCTCTGCAATTGGAGGTACTGGCAAACAACGACCGTCATCAAAATATCTTCTATACTACTGCACTTAGTCTTACCTGGAACACAGAGGTAAGGATTCAACCAATCCGTTACTCGAAGTT